ATTGCTTTCCCACACAGCCATAGAATGGAGTACATTTTTTCCTGAAAGAAGGCTTTTATTCCAATCTTCTCTTTTTAAGTGGGCAGGGTGGAGGAAGGATGTCTCAGAGCAAAATTACACAGTCCCTACTCAGCTGCAAATTTCTACTTCACAAAATTATTCATTTAGGCCATCAGTGAAGCATGTAAGAGGCTAAACCCAGGACTCAAGAAATATTTACAGTAAGCAAATATCAAGTTAAAATGGTCAGTGGAAAACTGTTTGCACTGTTGTGTTATGCTTATTGAGTGTTAGGTACAAACAGAAATTCAAAAGAACATGGTTCTGGTGTAAACAGCTGTAAAATAGACAGTCCTTTGTGCTCAGAGCATGAGGTAAATGTGTTCAGCTGCTTGTCCATGCCAGGTGAATGAGCAGCAGTAGCAAGAATATAAAATTCCTGGTCTAGCTACAGTGAACAAGCCTACTAGGCTTTCCAGGAAACAAAAATAAACATAAAACCTGCATCTAAGTGTACACAAACAGCATGTAGTCATTGTCAAGCTGCACGCCTTCAAAGCATATTCCACTAAAAACATTGAAACAGAGAGAAGCTCCCTGAAGATCATTTCCACTGTGGATGCCACTTAAGCACCTAAAACTGTGCTGACATACCTGAAATGTATGTGAACATAAGCTGGCAAACTTTGTTTTCTGTGCTCTTTGTTGCTAGAACATGGGTTACAGGTAAAAAGTTACTGTCAGTCAATCAATAAAATGGTTTTAAGTCAATAAAAGTCATTCAAGCGTTCTTCCACAGATCTTAAAGAAAAAGCTAGAATAAAACTTTTTCTCTAGCCTCAGGTTTAATCCCTGAAAATTGCACTTTTGTTATTTCTTATGTAAGACTATATAACAAGCGATGTAAAACACAAATACAATTTCTTTCTGTAGAGGAGTCTGCCTTTGTCTAACAGTGAGTCAGCATCATCTGACAGATCAATTTTCTCTAAGTGTAGGATGTGGATTTTGCATATCACACTCTCCAAGGGCACCTGTTGGAAACTTGGGTCGCTACAGCGTGGAATTTCACACCACACATAAGGTCAACTCAGTGGCCTCCCAGCACATCACAAAGTCTCATCAATAGGGATGAGGCTGATATGAGATACCTCAAGTTTTCTGCCCTCCAGATCTGCCTTTCTATAATGGGGACACGGCATTCCTTAACACGTGGTTGGTTCTTTCTGAAGCTGTGCATCTCTCGTATCCACAGGATCAAGAGGAGGGACCTCAGGAGGAGTCTAATTCCACTTCCTGAGCAGAGGTCAGTCAGCTGTGAGGTCAGATGAGGCTGGCCAGAGCTTTAAGCAGCCAAGTCTTGAAAAACCTCCCAGGATTTTCAGCTTCTCTGGGGACTGTGTTGCAAAATTTATTTGTCCTAAAATGGAAAACGCTTTTCCTTATGACCAGTCTGAACCTCTGTCGTTCCAATCTCTGTCCACCATCATCCTCTTTCTGCCAAGCACCACTGTGAACAGCCTGGTCCTGATCCATAAGCCCCCACAGGTGTGGGCAGGCTGCTGTTAGGTGTCCCAAAGCCATTCCTGTTCCCAGCCTAGCTCCCTCAGCCTCTCCTAACAGGGGATGTGCTCCAGCCCATGCTGACCCTGGGGGCCCACAGCTGGTGGGAGTGTTCCAGGTGCACTCCAACATGTGCTGAACACAGGGAAGTGGTCATTTTCTTCTGTGCTCCCCCTAACACAGCCCAAGATGCTGCTGGCCCATTGTATTCCTGGGGCAGCTGCTGGCTCATGCTCAGCCTGCTGTGTACCAAGGCCCGAGCTTGGAGAGCAGAGCTGCTCTCCAGCCTGCCAGCCTGTATTGTTGAAAACTCCCAAAATCTTTTGGTATCAAGTCTGTGGGACTGGCCAAGACACTTTCCCCATGCCACACACAGCAGAAGATCCCAGCTTCCAAGATCATCACATTAGAAGCCAAGATTAACTCTATACAGACATTAAGCTAAAATAATGTCAATGCACTTTCCGTAGTACCTTTACAAACAAGTGTACAAATTCCTCTGTATTCTTGTCTCTGAAAAAGAGAACAGCTGCTACGAGGTGTTCCTTTCCTCCAAGCATAGTTGTTTATAGTAAAGAATACTAGGCTTTGATCAGTTGCTTATGTTTACTAAATTGATTCCAACATCTTTGCCAGTGGGCTGTATGGATTCCCAGCGTGAGATACTCCTGAGATTGTTTTTCAATGGAATTTTCCATTATGCTCTGTACTTTCTTCAAAGCACAATTTTTTACTGGACAGTACTCCTTGTCCAACATAACATGCAGAACCATTGCTCAACCCTTCTGTTTTCTTCCCACATGCTCTACCGCCATCTATTCTCTTGTCTTAACCTAAGTTTCCTTTCACAACTCTCTCACAGGTAATCTCATATGTTTGTTACCAGCTGCTATGTCACTTTGTTTCCCCCCACTTCGTCCCCCTCTCTCTGGTATTAAAATTTGGGAAGCAGTCAAGGCTTCTCAAGGAAGACACAATGTCACACAGGCTGGGGATGAGCAGAGGGAGCAGCCCTGGCAGAAGGACCTGGGGGCTGTGGGTGAGAGCTGACCCTGCCCCAGCCCAGAGCTGCAGGGCAGGGGGGATTCTGCCCCTCTGCCCCTCTCTGCTGAGCCCCCCCTGCAGGGCTGCATCCAGCCCTGGGCCCAGCACAGGAAGCACAGGGAGCTGCTGGAGCCAGGCCAGAGCAGGGACACCAAGGGGATCAGAGGGATGGAGCAGCTCTGCTGGGAGGAAAGGCTGAGGGAATTGGGATTGTTCAGCCTGGAGAAGAGAAGGCTTTGGGGTGACCTCATTGTGGCCTTGCAGTGCCTGAAGGGAGCCCACAGGAAAGATGGAGAGAGACTCTTGACAGAGGCCTGGAGTGACAGGACAAGGGGCAATGGCTTCACACTGACAGAGAGAAAGTTTAGATTGGATATTAGGAAGAAATTGTTCCCTGTGAGGGTGCTGAGGCCTTAGCACAGGGTGCCCAGAGCAGCTGTGGCTGCCCCTGGATCCCTGGAAGTGTCCAAGACCAGGTTGAATGGGGCTCTGAGCAAGCTGGGATAGTGGAAGGTGTCCAGCAGGGGGTTGGAATGAGACCAGCTTTAAGGTCCTATTCCATTCTGTAATTCTCTGACTCCCACACTTTTTCTAATGCACTAAAAGTAGGAGTGCTATAAATGACCCAGACCCTGTAATCCTGCATGCCCAACAATTCTTGCCTGAGTACAAGGAGATCACTACCATCACAGTGGTAGTGTGTTCTGAACAGAGATGTTCAAACCCCAATAGCAGCAGCTGGACAAATCAGCACATGGGCTGATAAAGGGCAAAGGAATCCACATCTCCAGCCCCTATCTAATGCTTGGTCCATTAAACAGCTGTAGCAAATCAATGCTTTCCCTATTTTCTTGTGTCAGACCCAACAGAAGATACACACTTTGCTGACCAAGCTGCAGACTGTGAAAGAGCAGGTGAAAATCTACAACAGCTCAAGTGTTGAAACATCTAATATACTTATGATGAAACTTATTTATATCTCTGGTTAAGGTCTACTTCCAAGTGTGACTACTTGATGCTTAAACAGCAACGAGAAGCAAGAGCTTCCACAGTTAGGCAGTATCAGGCTGCAGAAATAAAGCAGGTTTCAAGAATAAAAGAATCGAAGGCTACAAAATGAAAAGAACTGTGCTTCCTGAAGATGTACTGTCTCCCACAGCACCCAAGTTAACAAGTGTGAGGTGATGCACATGTTAAGCTGTAACAGGGTATCTACTATGAAAATCAAATCCCTTTTCCAGCGACATATCTCAATTTAAGACATCTCAAACAAAATCCACAAGGCCCAAACTTTTCCCTTTTTTCAAGTCCATTAATTCAAAAAGCAAACAAACAACAAAAATTCACCCCACCCCAATCCAAACCATTTTGAGAAGCACTGGATGTAGTTTTTCCAGAAAAAAAACAAAAGCCAGGCCCCAGGACTGACTTCAAATGAAAATTTGGCCTCTCAAGCCTCCCCAGGACGTGGGCAAAATAAATCAAGGACAAGCTGCCATAGGCCTAGGGCTGTACTGTAGTCTGTTCACCCTCCAATCTTTTTTTCCTTCTGCAGAATCTGATAGTACAGGAGTTCCACAACAGCAGATTAAATTTATGACTACAGCTATGCACATTTCATAAAATATTATTAAGCAATGAAACACCAGTCTCATTAAGTACTTACAGTTTTAGTATTTGTTAGAGGTAGGAACACCTTTGTCTCTTTTTATCCTCAAAACACTGTGCTGTGCTACACTTGTTGCATGCTAAAGGCATTTTTGAATTGCTCTGATTGTCTGGGTGCATTAGCAATATGTGTAACTTTCAAGTCAATGACAGTGTAGTCAATATATAGAAACAGGTGGTTTTGATCAGGAAATTAGCAGATGTTATGTGGCAACAAACAACGTCTTTCAATAACAAGGCTGGTAATTCAAAACAACAGAAAATGAGCAAGTTTAACCCCAAGTTCATGCTTTGAACCCTACATTAGCTGCTGGTTTGGTGTTGGGGTTTTATTTCAAATATCATAAGAGACACTAGTATTTCTCTAGTCCTACAACAAAGAGCAGAAATTAACTCTGTGATTCAGTGTGTGAAGATAAATACGCCTCTGTAGAGCACCTTGGGGACAATGGGAATCTTGCTGCTTAAGATCACAGCATTCATATACCAGCCACTGCTTACACTGAAAAGCAACTTTATGTAATAAGCTATTTTCAGTTTTCTCACTGCTGATTTTTATCCAGTCATCCAATGCTTCCTCATCACTGCCTGCTTTAGAGGCACTCACCAGTTGCCAAGAAAATACAGAATATCAGTAAAAGCAGAGAAATAGCACAAGCAAGAGCAAATGTGTCAGTGGCAACAATGGACTCAAAGGCTCATTTGTGAATTACAAACAAGAAATGTCAATATCAGACACCTGCAGGTTTATTTCTTTGTAAATGCGATGCCAATGACAAGAACAATCACCCTGTAAACATCAGAGTTCACTTATCCTTTCATATGCTCTGTAAAGGGTGGTAAAGCAGCCAATCAACATTACCAGTGCTGTTAATTAAGACATGACCATCACTGCATTCACAGCACTGTCTCCAGGGGACTCTGGCCAACTCCTACGTGTCTGAGGCTTACAAAAAAAACCATACCACAACCATAGTGGGATTAACTTATACAAATACTTATAATAGGTAACAAATTCGATTGAAGTCGTATTTGTGAACAGAAAGCTCGTTTTAAGTCAAAGAAACATCAATCCACGCCGATCCGTAACAGAGCCCCTGTAGAAGCGTTTCTCACACAAAACGAGCGGTGCCCAAGCCGCCGCTCCCGACGCGGAGCAGAGCGCGGGCAGCCCCGCGGGAGGGCCGGGCCAGCCCAGCCATTCCCGGTGTATCCGGAGGCGTTCCCGAGGCTCTCGGGCAGGGCCGTGCTGCCCCCTGGCGCTACGAGTCGGGCAGGGGCTGGCTGTGGGTGCCGCTCCGCGTCTTCAGCTGGGACTGAGCGATGTCGGCCAGGGCGCTCTGGATCTTCTCGAGCAGCACATCCCCGCGGTACACCACCTCCTCCAGCCGCGCCGCCGCCTCGTGGTTCTCCTCCTCCAGCCGGTGCAGGCTCGCAGCCTTCAAAGCAAAACCGGGATCATGCCCAGAGATTTCTGCCTGTTTATGTATTTTTCATATATTTGTACCTCTGGATACTACTATCACACAGTCCTAGTATTCTTCCTACCGTTTCCCTTTAGAACAATAAGCTAACCCTTCTAATGCATACTTGGAACTCTGTTCAGTCTTATTCTTATGCAGAAGAAGCCCGACTGGGATGTTTTGTTTTCCAACCAGAATCTGAGAACACACAAGAAATGGGGCAAAGAAGCCCCTGGAACAACTCCAATGGGGCAGAATGCAGGGAAAACTACCTAACCAACTACTCTTCTAATCGGCAATATTTATTAGATATGCTAATTTGTTAAACTCATAAAATTGTAGAAATCTGATGCTGGGTGTGCCCATGACCATTGGGACACCTGGAAGCTTCCAATAAAGGCCTCCTTTTTATTTTACTATTTTAACACTCTTGAAAGAGTTTGCTCTTTTGAGGCAACAGGGAAAAGCAAGGATCTTCAACAGAACCCTGAAGTGACTTTGCTACTCAAGGATACTGAGGAAACAGCTGGTGCTCCCTAAAAAGAAAAAGGTTCTCTTGTTTAATAGTTGACTGCAACTAATTCACAGATAAGAGCAGAATTTGTACTGTCAACTTCACTGAAAGGGAACTCACAAGGGGCAGGTAAATTGTGCTGAGCATTCATCTAGCAGCTCCTTTTATCATTTAAGACAAGACTTAGATCTGAAACACACACCAAGACAACTTTAGTATAAACAACTTTTTTCTAGTTTCTAATTAACCAAGTATTATCTACCACTTCTCAACTAAACCTATAGTACATATTTGTGAGTGTTTCAAGCATCTTCAAAACCATTTATTTGAAGACTATCAGAATATTTAATACTGCACCAAATTAAGAAACAGAAAATAAAAATCTAAACTGGAATCCAAGATAATTTATCTTAAAATCACACCAGACAGAAAGTATCAGAAATTTTTGTGACATGAAGTTCTTCATTAAGACAATAAGAAACTGTTGAAGAATCACCTCTAAGGAAAGCATGTCCCTAACTGGATAACCAGCTCCTCCTGCTGGAGCACCCTGCTTTGCCCACACCAGCTGCCACTTCGATCAGACCCTGCTCAGTCATGGAATAAACTGGAATTTGTCTGCAGCAGGCATTCTATCTTCAGCTATTAAAAATGCACTTATAGGAAATCATGCTAGTGTTAACGAGGCCAATTAGGATGTTCAGCAATTACTGTGACTAGAAAAGTTCCCAAATTTAACCTCCTCTGTTTAAAACCAAACGTGATGCCACTGCCAAATCATTTCTCTTTGGCCCATTTGCTGTCAATCTTCGGTAAAACACTTTTGAATGGTTACAGAGTATCAATGCAGGTTTAAAACTTCTAGTGATCTTAAAGGTGCTCATCAGGTTTGTCAGGTTTGTATTCTACATCCTTTATGCATTCCGAAAAGAAAATACTTGATGGAAATCCAGCCATTATGAGTCAAAAAAAAAAAGAAGATGGCTTTAATAGGTAAAATCTGTGAAATGATAGGAAAAAAAAATAAAAACCAAGTTTGACTGGTTCAAAGGAATACTCCTTGTTATTAAAAAGTGATGGAATTATTTTGTGACAGGGCTGAAGAACTTAAAGGACACCCTGCAAACTCTTTAAACAGAAACAAAGTGGAAGAACAAAAGACTTCTGTCGTGTTGGTTCTGCAGCTACAAAATGAAATGTGAGCACCTATGAATTATTACACTAGGGGAAAAAATGAATAAAACAATGCACAAAGCATCAGTACTGTAATATTTGTTCTGTTAATATTTGAAAAAAAAAAAAAAAGATGAGTAGTTTCCAGTATAGTGATGGCATGATAAAATCACCTTGTTTTTCTTACATTTTAACAGAAAACTAAGTCTAAAATATTGTCACTGATTATAATCTTATTTGGAACTAGATGCAAGTTCAGTATTTCCACTAAGCCTACAAAGTGCTCACAGGCTACCCTCATGAAAAACTCAGGTTTGTACTAAAATCACTTTTCAATGACCTCATGGCTTAGAGATGAAAAAATGTGTTAAAAAAAAAAGGAGGAAGTTTGCCTTCAGGAGCGTTCTGATACTGGAGTTAGGAAAACTCCTACCTGCAAAGCTGCTGTGGATTCTTCACTGGGCAGGGAATCTATGAGGACATCGATATCCTTGGCAGTGCGAGCAATCAGAGCTGCGAACAGCTGGGCATACTCTGCACAAAACACAGCACAACTCAGGCAATCACTCAGGGAATTAAGAGAAACAAACACAACTCTGCTGTCACAATGCTATGCAGAAAGTGCAGCCGACATCCACTGTTGACTTAACCTCCACCACTCCACCAGCTAAGGGGGAATTATTTGCGAGGCCGGATTTTGCATTCCCGAGCGCACTGCCCCGCAGCACGCTCATGTGCAGGGGACGCAGGGAGCCGGACTCACCTTCCGTGGGGTTCACGGGCTGATCCTTGTTTATGGCCGTCTGGATGTTGCTGAAGGACGCCGGCGGGCCGCACTGCTGCAGCACCCCGATGGCGTTACAGAACTGGTCCGCGAGCTGCCGGCACCAATTAACACGGCGTTAATCACCCTGCCCCACCGCTACAGCCACCCCCGGCTCCCGGCGCACCCGCTCCCGCCCAACACCCCGGCCGTGTGGAGGGTGCGCACCCCACACCCGCGGCCATTCCCCAGGCCGGGGGACTGTGGGCGGGGGGCCGCATCACCGCACCCCCGCACAGGCGGCGCAGCCCGTGCCGTGCCCCGCGGCCCCGGACGAGCGGAGGCAGCGGCCCGAAAATGGAATGTGAGAAATGCCTCACCGAGTTGACGGCGTCCTGCAGCTGTGTCAGCCGGTCCGCCATGGCCGCGCCTCAGTCGCCGCCGCCGCCCCTGAGGCGCGGACCCGCGGGGCGCGCGCGCCGCCTGGCGGCCGGGAGGAACGGTTGGGGGAAGGCGGGGAGAACCCGCCCGCAGCGGGGGTGGGCCGGCCTCGGCACGGCTGCCCGGGGCGGCGCTGGAGTCACCGGCCCTCGGGGTGTTTAAGGAAAGACTGGACTTGGCACTCAGTGCCATGGTCTGCTTGGCACGGCGGTGTTCAGTCACAGGCTGAACTTGATGATCTCAGAAGTCTTTTCCTACCTAAGTGATTCTGCCACGGCCTAGGCAGCTTTTGCTGTGCAGCAGTCGCTCTGATCCCAGCTGAAGGCCATAGCAGTGTTCCACTCCAGCCCCGATCTGAGCAGGGAAACGCCAGAGTGTAGTGTTCCCAACAAGCCAAATCAGAGACAGCATCCCGCCTCCCAGCCCAGGGGTTGGAGAATAAATGCAATTTGTGCCAGTCAGTCTGTGCCCATCTTTCTTATCTCTGACAACTGGGTACAATGCCAGCCTTCTCCCAGGTGGACCTTAGAGGTCATCTCTTTCCAAACTCCCGTCACTGGCAGGGACACTTTCCACTATCCCAGGTTGCTCAGAGCAACCATCCAACCCGGCCTTGGACACTTCCAGGGATGAGGCAGCCACAGCTTTCCTGTGCCAGGGCCTTGCCACCCTCACAGGGAAGAATTTCTTCTAATATCCAATCTAAACCTCAGTTTGAAGCCATTTCTGTTATCCTGTCACAACACGCCTTTGGAAATAACTACTCTGAAGCCTTGTCACAGATGCTGCGGGTGTAGCAATCATACAAATTTTATTATCCGCCCAAAGTGTTTTCGCGACGGCACGGTTGGGTGAGGATTTTGTTTGCTGGGAGGTGGGGTCTCTTCACGTCCCAAAGTTAAGCCCCAAGTCCCAAACTGCCGGTCCGAACCCCACCGTGCATTTTTAGGAGTTCGCAGCTGTTACCGCGGCCAAGCGCTTCCCCTCCACACTCCCACCGCCCTTCCCGGCAGGGCCCTGCCGCAGGTGCCGGAGGGGGCGGGAGCGGCTCCATCCAGCCGGGCGGGCGGGCCCCGCCTGCGGGCCGCCCCCAGCGCCCGCTCCGCCCCAGCTGCCCGGCCTTCCCCGGCCTCAGCCCCCCTTCCCCGCTCCCTCCGCGGCGCCATGTGGGTCTCGCCGCGCCCCGCGGTGCTCCTGCTGCTCATGGGGGTCCTGCGCTATGGCGGAGCCTCAGGTGAGGGCGGTGTGAGCCGGAGCGGGGGGCGCGTGGGGCTGTGGCCGCCATTAAGCGGCCGGAGGAGCCCGGCTCGTACCGGGAACCGCGGGGCTGTGCCCGGGTCGTGTCCAGCGGCGGGGGCTTGCTGCCTGCCAGTGCGGAGCCTCTTGGGGCTTGCTGCAGAGCCTTTTGGGCTGTCCCCGGTGCTGGCCGCTGTCCGGAGGGATGAGCAGGAGTGCGGAGCATAGCTGCCTGCGGCGCTGTAGAAGCGATTCGTGATTATCTTAATAATCTTTCATGTGGACAAGGAGAGCCACCCTTTTTCCCCGCTTTCCCTCCCTATCCACTTTTTGTTTTTTTAATGCCTTAATTGCTATGGATGCCATAATTTTAACTGTTTCGTGGATAATTCGGAATCATTTTAGGTGCGGGGGTGCGGTACAGCTGATGCGGCTGGTGTAGGGCTGGATTCCCCAAACAGAAACAAGGTGATATTCGCTACCTATGAACATGAGTTTGTTTACATGGTAAGGGGAATATGGTTAAAAGGAGGTTTGGTTTTGTTTGCTTGGTTTTTTCCCCCCTGACCGTGTACAGGTGTGCATGGGTTCCCACCACCCTAGTGGATGGTGGGTTGAAAACCATTGTCGCTATAAAACTATGGAAAGGAGCAAAACCTAGAATTTGCAGCTTGATTCCTAAACTTACTTTTTGTCCATACTGATGTAATCTGACTTAAAAAAAAAGCACGGGCTTTTTTTTGTAATTTCCCTGTGTTCCTACATGTGACCAAAATAGGAGTCCAGAGTTAAGTGTGCTATAATCAGTATAGTTTGGGAAGATTTACAGTCCCTTTTTTTTTTCTGGTTAAATTCTTATCTGTTCAAATAAAGGAAAAAATAAACAGTTTCCTCTCAGAGATAATTCAGAGATAAGCAATCAGTCCTTTGTATCAGGGCTGATGTAAGCCTCCTCCTCTTAGTTTTGCTTTATTTTTATACTTGCTTCTAACCATAGACTCATTGAATGGTTTGGGACCCTAAAGCTCATCTCATTTCAACCCCCCTGCAATGGTCTAGTGGACCCCTTCCACTAGACTAGGTTGCTCAATGCCCCACCCAACCTGGCCTTGAATGAATGAAGCTTAATTGTCCCAAAGGAGACTCTTGGGATACTTTGAAGGGCTGCAGGACAGCATTTGGAACCAGTCCCAGGTGTGGAAGGCTTCTCTCTACCCAAGTCTCATGCCCAAGATCCTGATGGAGAGCCGAGTATTCCCTGTTTCTTGCAGGACCTAAAAGCTTTGGCTGCGCACCTGATGGTCACAAGCAGGTGTGAGAATGAAAGCTCTGCTTTCTTAGACCTTGATGTCCTTAAGATAACTTAAAGGATGCTAACAAGCAGTTTGTCTCCTGGACTTGATGAAAATGGGTCATGTGTTGAGTAATTTTTTTACAATATGTAAAAAGGCAAAGCAACTATGAGACTAAGCAAACTGCTTTGCCTTGAAGGAACCTGTTGCTGTTTTTCCTTGCACGATTGAGGGTGGAGGGGGAAAATGTTTCCCTTGTGAAAATCTAATAAGCTGTGTAATTTGTGTGCTAGAGTCTAGCTGATCATTAGGGCCTTTAAACAAGGCCACTTGCTTAATTGTTCACTGATTTGAAATTGTCTTGTGCTTATTCAGTTGTGGACACCCACTTTGCAGGGATGGGCTCTGCTAACTCCTAATCCTTGAAGATCCTGCTTCATTTAAAAAGTGCTGATTAGTAAAATCTTTGCATGATGGCCTGTGTTACCTCTCTGGGTTTCTGATGTTCTGCAGCTCCTCAAACTTGGTCTTTGTGCAGAAATGTTTTATACATTGTGTTTGTTGCCTTCCAGGGAGCTCTGTCTTCCTGAGGAGGAGTTCAACTGGCTGTGTTTGCTACATCCCAAGGGGGCTGTTTAGTTTTGGAAAAACTAAAGTGAATTTATACTGTAATCAGGACTGAGCGGTGCTTCTGTAAAGGGAGCTTATCTGGGTGAAACTTGTTTGTGCCAGCTATTTAATCTATGCAGAGATGATACTTTAGAAGTTCACACAAACCTCTTCCCTCACTTTTGAGGCTGTAAAGACCTCTAGCCTGGTGAACAGAATAGTTCTCTGGGATGGGAATGGTGCAGATGGTGACAAGCCACCTTCTGTGGTATCTGCTTTAAGCATCAAGCTGTTCTAAGCATGAGTCTCAGTACACACACAGTCAAAGTTCAGAAGCTTTCAGAAGTATTCCTGCTTCTTTTGGGAGCTGGGTAGGTGCTGTATTTTTTGGGGGTTCAGTAGTGTGGGAAGACAGACCCTGCAGCCAGACTCCCATGATCTGGGTCTGCATGGCCTTACAGGTCTGATAGGATATGGCTCCAGGCTTTATTCTGTTAAGTAACTGTATGCTAATGTTTTTCTTACTCAAACTGGTTGTTGGTCTGAGCTTGCACTTCATCTTCATTAAATGTCTTCATGTGACTACTTGTTGTTGTACTCCCTGCACTGGGAAGTTCTCCTTAGCTCCTGGAGTTTGCTTACATCAGGTTGTTTTGCATATCCACTGCAAGGTGCTCAGCACCCAGTAGAAATGACTGCACAGAACCTCTCTAAGGGAAGCATAGTGTTTGAGCATGGCTCTGCAGGTGAAGACTGTTCTGTATAGGCAGCAGGGGCATTTCTTCAGTTGTGTTTCTTACTGGAAATTGGACTGCTAAGTGTAATTAAGAACTCTGTGTGGTTAACTGCTCTGTGGCGGTGGGGAGTAACACTTGGCTATTGGAGCTGGAAATGTGGTTTACTCAAAGCATCAGAGCAGCCAAGAGCTTGGCACTGAATCAGCACAATGGAAACAGTTAAAACTGGGTGTAGCCTGTTGGGGAAACTGTGTGTCACAGGGAAGGGATAACAAGCGCAGAGGCTCTGGAATTGTTTTGTCTTGTTGAGTTAGGAATAAGGAATTTTGAGTTAGGAATAAGGACTTCTGATCTCAGAAGAGTTTCAGGAGGTTCTATTTCTTTGCTGTCTTTACTGGCTTTGCCCTTCATGTGAGAGAAGAGGTAGTGTGAGGTGACAGAGTGGGCTGTTTGCTCTGTTCACCAATTCTGTGTGCAGGACTAACTGTGCTCCAGTTCTGGTGCTCTTTATGGAGTAATACATGCTCAGTGCTCCATCTCTGCTCTGCTGCTGCTTGCTTTCAGCAGTGCTGGCTTCCTTTCACCATCTGTGCAGTTGATAAGCTCTGTAATAGTTTGGGTTCCTCTCATGTATCTAACCCAAAATTACTCTGATGTGCAGTGACTGTTACAGGCCTTCCTACAGGGCAAGGAAGAGAGCATAGACTGACACCTTGGAGTGCTTCCAGACCTTCACTGTTGGAAGCAATAAAACAAGTTGGGATGCCTGGATTTTGCTCCTGTCTGTGTTGCTGACTTGCTGGATCAACTCTCTCACTTGTGAGATGGTGTTAAATGTGCTGCTGGTCCTGCAGACCTGCCTGGTGGGCCACCTCTGGGCAGATCAAGCTTGCCCAAAGGAGAAGGTTGCATGCTGTGACCAGCACTATGTGGTCATTGAGGCTCTGTGTCCACCTTCAAAGGATGTTTGACAAGACAAGACTTGTCTGATGGGTGTAGATGTTCTTCATCCTGTGTCTCTGCTCTTGTGCCCAGACTTTGGGATAATGTGTGTCACATGTGCTGTTCTCGGAGCAGTTATGCAAACAGAAAGCAATATAGAACACCATACCTTAATTCACCACGCTAATTAAACTTGAGAGAGTGCCTCTGACATTTAGAGTCTCATGATCATCAGTAGTGGCTGTGTGTCCTGCTGACGAATCTGTCCTTATTTATGCAGAGGCCCCTGGGTATGGGTACAGAGTGGAGGTGAGAAACAAGGCGGAACAATGCAGCTTTTTCCCCTTGATGTAGATCACACAGAGAATGTGTATGGGCTCAGCTTTTTTCTCAAAGAACAAAAGTGTGAATGTCTTGTGGTTCAGGAAGCTCTGCTAAAGTTTTTAAAGATCAAAGAAAAATATTTTTTGTGAATTGTAAGCACTCACTGTAAATTTCTGAATGTATCAATGTATAGTCTGTGCCTTCTGAATGCTTTTCTTTAGCATTCATACTGCTACTTGCATTTGTGATAGAACTTGAGCTAGTGAGGAAGGATCAGAGGATAACTGAATGCTGCTCAAGGGACTCTGAAGAATCAGAAACTGAAGAATGCACAAATTTTTTTTGCAGCTTTAATTTTACATTACTGTGTGAAAAATTGATGCAGAAGCTTCTACCTTAACACAAATTTCTTCTCCAATGATGGAGAAGAAAAATGGAGCATCTTTCTTTCCTCACAAGTAGTTTATGAACCCCCATATTTTAGCTGAGGTTTTATTGGTGATGCAGTACTGGTATTAATTGAATTTTGGGAGTGAGCATGTAGGGGTTGAAGTTCCTTCCCTCACTGTGTATGGAGTGGAGGAGGCATAACAGCTCCCCTCTGTTAACATATCAGGAGGCCAAAAAACTGGCCAATGATGCCAGTTCTTGGCAGAAGAGAGAGAAAAGTAACAGAAAAGCAGTCAGAGTACTGGGTATAGTTTCAGGTAAGTAAACTGTCACCCTCCCTGTGGAATGGGAGCCCCTCAGTGTCACCAGCAATGTCCCTTGGACGGTGCTGCTGGTGACTGTGTTAGGGAACTCAGCAATACCAACCCTTTCCACCAGAGGCAACTTCATTGAGGAAGTGTGTGTGTTCAGGCTTGATAAGTTTTGGGTCTGTTTGGGTACAGAAGCAGGCAGAGGAATTCAGGGAAAAGCCTGAAAGGCATTGTGCAGCCTGGCTGCAGCCACTAACCAAAGAGCATCTTGTGGCTTCTGTGTGGCTGCTTGACTTTCCTGCCTTGGCATCCCCTGTCCCTGCAGCACGGGGAGAAGCCAGGCTTGCTTGCAGGACTTGAATGACAAGCCAAAGCTGATTCTCAAAGCTCTTGTATCCTAGGTCATGTGGTTCTCTTTAAATTAAAATGACAGTGGATCATGGGGTTATGCTTATTGTAAGAAAAAATGGTCTGGGTTGTGTCTAGGAAAAATTAGTCAGATTTTTAGGTCTAGAGATGGGGATGCAGCAGTCCTAATGATTAAAAACTGTTTGGCAGCAAAAAATGTGGAATAGCTGAAAGTGGGTAAATGTATGTATGTAAACTACAGATTTGACTCAGTCTTCTGGAACTTGACTTCAATTCCCATGGTTTATAGGAATTCACCTGAAAAGTCTGATGGATCTTGTGCAAGTTGGCTGGCTGGTACAAACATACCTGCCTGTATTTGCCAAAGATCAGGCAGTCCTCAGTGTCTTCTCTTACTGACTTTTTGGAGTGTAGCTGGCTGATTGGCTGAGCTGTATCAAATCCTTGCTCCTGGCAGGAAGCTCTGTCCCTGTGCTCAGGTGAGTGCCAGCTGCAGGGCAGGTACCCTGGCTGTGCCTGTGTCTGCAGGTACAGCTCTGTGTGCAGCCGTCTCTGAAAGCTTGGTACAGCTCACAGGATGAGAGCAGCACGAAGCAACATCCTGCTCTGCTCCCAGCTGATTAATACTGGGCTACTGGAAACTTCCAGGCTTCTCTGGTAATTGCTTCCCTCTGGACCAAAAAAAGCCCTTTATCTTCCGTTTTTTTGTAATGCAGGTCTTCTTGAGCTCTCCTTGGGAAAATTCAGAAATGTGCTACTTAACCAGACCAATCCAGTGGAGGCTGTAATCAGGAACATCGCCAGCAATGTGACTGTGGTTATTTTTCAAGTGCATGCCCAGCAGAATGATGTGGTGATATCCTTTGATAAGGTAAGAGTGTCACTTCTGTTAAGTGCTGCCTGTCTTTCAACAAAGGACTTGGCTGTGGTACATGTAGGACTAATGGACTGAAGCTGTATAAATAAAGAGTGTCTTTTACCTGCTTGGCTTTTAGACAGTGTTACTGTAGCTTCAGAAATCCTTTCTCGTACTTACATGTCATAGCTGCTATTTTGAAAGACTGAATGCCAAAGGAATGTCAGAGCTGGCTTGAAAATGTTTCAAGGCTCTTTATTTGGTGGAAGTGGTGCTTTTTGTCATGTGGCTCTACTGACTGTTGTCCATCAGCTTGTCACATTAAAACCAGATCTGTGCAAGTGTTTGCCAGATGCTCCATACATGACCAGTTTGGGATGTTTAGTTGTCTGCTGTTCCCATGGCTTGGATTTTACCACTGCAGATATAATGTGTTGTTATCCCAGCTCCTTGTCCTGAATCTAATCCTCTTTTGGGGTAACACATGGAGAAATTCCTCTACATACTCCAGTGAAAGCTGCTACTTCTAGACAGCAATAGAAACATTCCTGCTGCTGTACCCTGCATCTCCATAATGATGGGACAAAATGAGTCAGTAAAATACTGATTTTGTTGTGGTGGTGCTGGGAGGCTCTCACTGGTATTTGAACAGAACATGGACTAAGCTGAAGGTGTAGATGGAGATCTGACAGCTGCAATCCAGTTCCCCTCTCTCCTGCAGCATCTTTGAAATCAGAATATACTAAGTACCAAGAAGTATCCTGGGAAGCTTAGAAAATGTAGACCTGTAACACAAGTCACCCAGCTCAGCCATCCTTGTACTGGTGAAACAGCCAGGATTACAGGGCTGAGACATTACTGTTACACCTGTTCAGTCTTTGCTTGCCATTGGTAGAATCCTCTGCTGCCAGTTCAGATCCTCTTTGCATTCATGCCCTTACCAGGCCCAGGGCAGAGATGCATAAATGCTGCTGTACTGCTTTTAGGGCTGTCCTGCCACTAGAAATATGAAGTTGAGCCAGACCTTAAAGTCTGCCATGTCCAATGTGCTTCCTTGCAGCATTGCCTTGGGTAACTGTGGCTGCCTTGGCCAAAGGCACTTTCCATGCTGAAAATGTGGCTGCAGGTCAACTGGCTGTTCCAGCTGTGAGATTGTGATACTGTTATTGCTGCTTATCTTTCCCTAAGAGCTCTGGTTATGGAAGGGATGGTGGTGCTGGGGATTGGGTCAGTAGTTGGCCTGGCCCCAAAAACATCTGGCATTGCTAGTGTTAAGGAAGCTGTCATACAGTCATGTCCATTCTGGTGGAGATAGGAAGGTGCTTCTGTATGCTGGCTGCCAGAACACTTCCTTGCAGCCATCTCACAACATTTTGTGAGGGATATTCAAGTTCTTTTACATTTTTACTAGTCAGTCTATTTCCAGATCTACTAGCTGGATTTTGCTGCAACCTGCTTGTGATTATCAGCTCTTTAGGAGTCCCACACTTGTCACTTGGGTTTTTGAGCCTGAGCCAGGCAGTGTGTGGTGTCAGAGCTCCCTTTTTTCACCAGCTAGGGATGCCATCCAGGGACCTTGACAGGTTGAGAGGTGGGCAGACCTGGTATAGTTCAGCAAGGCCCTACACATGGAGCTGGACAATTACAAGCGCAAATACATTTTGGGCAGAGCCTGATCTGTTGTAACTGGCACTGATGTATATGCCTGGCAGGTTTGTGGCAGGAATAGCCTCCTGTGATATTATCAAAATACAGGAATGTTATCAAACTGTGATAGGAATCGTCTCAAGAAGAACTGTTTGTTTCAGTAATTTGTTTCTGTGCAGACTCCGTCAGTGAACAGCTCAGGAGTCGGGGTGGACAGAGGGCTGGTGTCCGTCCTTCGGCCGGAGCAGACGGTGTGCACGTGGTACCTGCGCGCCCTGGCTGCCGGCCAGGTGCTCAGCACCGCCATCTCCATCCCCTACATGGAGAGAGGTACGTGCTCAGGGCATGCCAGCTCTGCTCGGCAAGTCATCTCTGGAATGAAGTGTTGGCCTTTCAGTCTTACATGGTGGAAATCTGATGGAGATACCAGAAATTCTTTTGAAAAGGGCTGAAAAGGTTTTTATTGTCACTGCTGAATTGTGAGTTGTGTATTGGAGGTACTCTGTGGTCATGCCATGACTTAAGCCTTAGAATAGAAAACTGCTGTGCATGTGATTATGGAATCACACATCTGTTTGGATTGGAAGGGGACCATAAAGATCATCCAGTTTCACCCCCTCTGCCATGGGCAGGGACACTTTCCTCTAGGTGTCCTCCCCTGAGGTTGCTCAGGGCCCCATCCAGCCTGGCCTTGGACACTTCCAGGGATGGAGCATCCACAGCTTCTCTGGGCAACCTGTTCCAGGGCCTCATCACCCTCACAGGGAAGAATTTCTTCGTCATATTGATGCCTTGAGAGGCTGAACCTGGAACAGAAACTAGACAGAGCTAAAGGAATAAAGTAGGTATTTATTGAAATGCCTTAATGGATATACCTTGGGCAGTACAAGAGCCTGGCCAGGGCTACAGCCAAGATGGACCCAAAATGGTCACAAAATGGATGACTGGTCACGCGATCTCACACTTTTATAAATTTTAGTCCACTTGCATATTGGAGTTAGTTGTCCAATTATAGCTTCAGGTTATGAAATCACATCCTCCTTGTTGCTCTTTTCAGTTCTCCATTGTTTATACTTTCTGGAAACTTGTAACGGTTGTCCTTGGTCTCAGGCTGGAAAAGGATTGTTTTGTCTACCTACCCTGCAAAGAGAACTTACTGATGCCTAATATGAAGCTCAGAGCTACACACCTAGGCAGCAGAGAATCTGAAAAATATGAAAGCTAAAACCCAAGCTATCAATATCCAATCTAAATCTACCTTCCTTCAGCTTAAAGCCATTACCCCTTGTCCTGTTATCCCTAGGCCCTTGTAAAAATTCCCTTTCCAGTTTTCTTGTAGGCTCCCTTCAAGTATAGGAAGGTTGCTGGAAAGGTCTCCCCAAAGCTTTTCCAGGCTGAACAACCCCTACACTGAATCTTGATCATAGGAGAGGTGCTCCATCCCTCTGGTCATCTTCATAGTCCTCCTTTGGATTAACTCCAGCAGGTCCACATCCTTCTTGTGTTGGGTGGGGTCTTGCCAGAGCAGACTGGAGGGGCAGGTCCCCCCTGCCTGGCCCTGCTGCCCTCTCCTCTTTGCATGCAGGATGTTGGTGTCTGTCTGGGCTGTGAGCACACATTGCTGGGTCATGTCAAGCTTCTCATCAGCCAACACTCCCAAGTGCTTCTCCTCAGGGCTGCCCTCAATCCCTTCCCCACCCAGCCTCTGTTTGTGCTTGGCATTGCCCTGAGCCATGTGCAGGACCTGGCAGGAGCTTGAATCCTTCCATTCCAACACTCCAGTCACATGTGTGGGGACCTGTCACAGGCTGCAGTGAAACCCTTTTGCTGCCTGCAGGGCCAGGACCTGATGATTTTCTGTGCTCAGCAAGTGGATTGTTCCTGCAAGTGTGTAACTGCAGTCATGTTCTCTCTGTTCTAGATCCTGTTCCTGGGGGCTGCAATCTAGAATTTGACTTGGAAGTGGATCCAAATATTTACCTGGACTACACATTGGTTGATATACACATCAAGTTTGCCCCTGCAAACTTGGGATATACCAGGTGTGTGGAGAACTTCAGTGCGCTGAGCAACACCTTCTGTCCAGTATTGGCCAAAAGGCTAAAATAATACCCTGCTGTAACAGATGAACCATCCAGCTGCTGGCAGGAATCTTGTTTGCTGCAACAAATGTAAATGGGGAAAAGGAGGAGGGGAAGAGGTACTGCATGAGGGAGATAAAGGTTGAGAGTTACATCTTGTGGGGGAGGTTATGCAACTTCAGAAATGTAAGCAGTCAGTAAATACTGGATCTTTCCATTCCCTGTAACAGCTTAATTTGTTTGAGAAGCAATTGTATGTTACAGCCAGTTTTATTTCTTTCCTAGTACTAGAGCATGATAATGATCCAGAGTTTTGTTTAACTTGAGACTTCAAGTTAAAAGGTGTTATTTCCTGAATGGTGCCTGGTGTCACAAGTGATAGGCAGGGAATGGAGAAGACTCTTCAGAACTGCATGGAAAGACAAACAGTACCGCTGTGGTCTGTGGCTGATGTGTTTTTCATTGCAGAGGAGCAAGCCCCCCGTCCTGTGATTCAGGGACTGGCCAGAGCTCCCGCTGGCGGCTGCGCTATGAAGTGTACCAGTACTTCCTGCCCGAGAATGACCTGTCCGAGATGGCGCTCATGAGCCACATACGGAAAATGTCTGGGGTGCACAGTGTCAAAGCCAATGGCATTAAGGTGAGCCCCAAGCACTGGGTGCCAGCCATGTGGCTCTGGGGCTCTCTTGTTGTCTCCTCCCCCGTGCTTATCTTCCTGGAGGGGAGATGTGAGCAAGCTCCCTGGCCCTGCTGGGGAGTGGAATGGCAGCCTTGCTTGCCTCGGAGGCCAGACCTGGGTCAGGCTGGTAGGGAACCTGAACTGTGCCCTCAGGCAGGGAGGAGCAGAACAGGAGTGGGAGAATCTTCTCCCCTGACAGAAAACACAGTAGTGCTGGAGGGAAGGGTTCCATCCTGTGAGCCTTTAACACAGATATTTACTTTTCCAGATGCTTACGCTGACAGCTGATGACAAGACCAATGTCTACTTCTCCTCACTTCCTGGGCAAGGTGTGATCTACAATGTCATAGTGTGGGATCCTCTTTGGAACACTTCTGCTGCATACATACCTGTGCATACATATGCCTGCAGTTTTACTGACCTGGTAGATAACTGCTCTTCCCTCAGTAAGTTGGGAATTGTATGTCCTTGCCAACTCCTCTGTAGCTTCTTGTGCTCCAACATGCCAAATGTGCTTTAAGATTCTTTTTCCAACGTGTGCAGGAGATATTTGTTTTACACTGTGTATATTTTGTTACTTCAGCAAAGTCTCCTTCTTGATGAGGGAGAAAGTCTAGAATGATGAAGTAAGACTAAGGAGAACTGTTAGCAATTAAAGGTTTAAATTAATGGAGGTTTAATATGTGGCTTGCAAATGTAACTCTGAACTCTGTAGTGCCACCCCAGCTTTGTCCATTTCAACTGGATACATAATTTCAAATAATTTGTAGTACTATAGATACTGGATGTGAAGCTGAGCTAATAAAACACAGACTTAGATTAGCCTCCAGCCAGATTTTTCTAACTGTGCTGGTGCTAACAGAAATCCTGAAGGTATTTTGAAAGGAGGCAGTCATCTAAAATAAGAATGAAGATAATGTCAGCTGTAGTGGAGTGACTATCAAGTCATGCTGCTTTGTATAAAGCTGTATAATGATGGAATTTGTGCAGACACCGCAAAGCCACCACTCCCATTATGAATACAGAAGGGACACAAGTAATTGGTAGAATTTGATTCATAAAGTAATATTTGTTCTCATTATTTTCTTATATACTGTAACACAAGTGAGTTTTGTCAAACTCAATGTTGTCTTATGACAATGTGAGACAAATTATCTAAGCTAAATTTCTCTAATTCAGAGCACATGGAAAATATAGTTTACTTCTGCAAATAGCTTAAATATTGGTAAGAAATTTAAGAGAAGATGGAGGTGAGCTATAATGGGATGCTGATGATCATTTTTGTTGCATGGCAAATGTATGAGAGGGAGACAAATGGTGAAGACTGCAGTGATTAATCCTATAGCTGCTGCCTGGGTCACTAATCCCATAGCATTGATTTTTACAGATGACTGGATGTCCCTTTTTTAAACCTGAGTAGAGACTTTTCTGGCAAATTTATATCTGTATTATAAACAAGTTACATCTACTTACAGAAACTTCTCTTGAATAAGGAGGAAGCTCTTGATTTCTTAATCAGTCTGGGACTATTTCAATGTTCTGTTGGAGATCTTACCAAGCCAACTATTAGTTCAGGCATTGCAGATCTGACAGAGTGGCAGCTCTCAAGTTGTCAGTAAAGTTTGTGACAGCAACCTGACCATACCTTAATCTCTTTGTTGGGACTACTAGTTGGAATGCTCTACTAAACCTGCCCTTCTTCTTGTAGGTAAACTCTCTACCAAAGTATTCTTCACTGCTTTTGCTGTTCTTGGTCTTTTCACTTGCTTTTTTGGACACAGATTCTGGAAAACAGGTACTGAATATTTAATCTCATAAATCTGGTTGGAACTTCATAAATGTTACTCTGTGTAACTTAGAATGATGGTGTTATTACCAAGATTCACTTCATAGTGATGCTGTGCCAGTTAGGCCCACTTTGCTTTTATGGGCTCTGAGCCTTTAAGCTCAGAGCAGGAAGTTTTTGGGATGCAAAGAATAGAAACCTAGAACTAGGGTGCATGCTGAGCAATACAGCTATAAATATGTAATTTTGGACTATCTGTAGTGCTTGAGGACACCCCTGTCAAGAAAAAAAAATTGTCTGGCTCTCCTTTTGTGAGCTGCTATGTTCCTTCCTCATTGTAATATGAAGATGTTTGAAGATCCACGGAAGTGGGCTTGCTATGAAGCTTGCTAAATATTTTTCCCTTTTTCTTTAGATTTATTCTTCATGGGCTTCATTGTCGCAGCATTTGTCTTCTTTGTGTTCATTACCAGGGTAACTGACCTTAGCTATGATGGTGAGTAGATCTGTCAGGATATCCTGTGCTCTTCCCAAACTCTTGTTAGGAACCCTTCAGGTACAATCTCAGTTGTGCTGTTGGCCAGCCACAGGAAGGGTAGCAGGGTGATGCCTGATTGAGCTCTGATTGCCATAATAGCTGAAAATGCAACGGAATAAGTGTTCATTCCAGCATCACAGTGATGCAGAATTAATAGCTGAATTTAATTTCAGTATCTATCCAAGAAGATTAGAGGTGTTTGGAAACTGTGGGAATTTGCAACATACTTTCTTCCTACTTTCACAATGCATAGACCTCTGTTTCAGATCAAATGTAGGTTTCATCTGTAAAGTGGAAGTGGGTGGTCTGCACCCAGCTTGTCAGACCAGACAGAATTAGTTCTTTCTGTCTGTGCCACCTCACAGAATTCCTTTTTTTGATACATGTGCAGTATCTTGTAGCCACCTGAACTCCCTGAGAACTCAGGGAACTGATGTACATGGTGCCAAGGCCTCCGTTCCAGCCCCCCTGCCACTCTTTCAGCAGCACATCCCCAGCTGCAGGCTGGCATCTAAGTGAAGTGCATGAAGCACGTTCTGGTACTTTTTTTGTCTCATGCAAACTCACTGAAAAAAGCCGAACATGCATGTAAATAAAGCTGCTGGACATGTTCCTGCAGGAACTGAAGTTTCCAGGGTGCTGGAATTTTCTCTTCTCTCTTTCAGTGCGTCTTATTTTGACGGCAGTGGCTGGAATCATTGGAGGCCTGCTCTTGGTTGTGAGCTGGTGGAGATTTGGCTCTGTCCTGCTCAGCATGTTTGTTATTGGACTCGTGTTGGGATTTCTCTTCTCCTCAACACTCTTCTTTACCCCCCTAGGTAAGCACTGTAATCCTCTGCTTGGTGAATGCTGTGTTCCTGCATGCTGCAGGCACACTGCAAGGCTCAAGAGTGAACGGCACTCTCTGGTTTATCTTACTGGGATGTTTAAGGTTACCTTTCCAGTGCTGGGAGGAATAGAGATGCACCTGAAAGCTTCTTTTTGCTGTGCTGTAATTAAAAGTACTTGGGGAAAAGGGAACTGATTGTTTTGCAGAGAACTTGGTGACTCTTCCTACTTAACCTGTGTGCCATGTCTGTAACACCAGCTCTGCTCCAGGCATGCACTTGCTCTCTTGTTCTCTGTCCAGAACAAGTACCAGTAGAAAATCTACAGTCTAATTTGAAGGCTTCAGGCATAAAGGCCTTGGACAAATTGCTTAAAAGCCAGTAAGCCTGCTGAGCTGGAGTCCCTCTGGGACATCAGAGCATCAGCTATTGTAATTTTCAGTCTCAGAACTTCTCCTTTTGAGGTCCTTTGGTGGGACAGTTTTTTGTCCTCCGGTCATCTGTGTTTGACTCAAGCCATGATTCTGTGGTAATCCATGCAGTCCCTGGTTGCTCTTCATTAAAGTGGAACAGTGACTGAGCTGGAGGTCAGCTTATCCCCTCTGGTGAATCCACAGGCCTTAGAAGGCAGGGGGAGCAAAGAAGGGTTTGAGTGATTTAATTTTCCTAAAGCCCAGAAGAATTTGTTGCCTGGTGGTGTGGTGATGGCTACATTTGCACCATACTCTGGAGCCTGATGCAGATTTTTAGTTTGGAAACCCACAGAAGCAACAAAACAGCTTCTTATTGGGCAGCAGTACTCTGGTGCTTTTAATTCTTACAAGGTGAGGAACATGTACCTTGTTAAAAAATTGTTCCATGGACAAGATCTCAACTAGGACAGTTTTTCTGTTCTTGATTAACTGTTCCAATACATCTTGAACAGTCAGGATTTGAACTCAAAAGCTGGGTTTTCAACAATGTACTCCAGGTATTTCTGAATGTACAGAGTTTTGGGGGGAAAAGGCTGACTCCCAAACACTTGTGAAAAAAGAAATGTTTCCCTCACTGCTGAATGTGGTGTCTTGGCAGGAGACTACAGGGTCTTCCGTGACGATGTGGTGTTCTGGGTGACCTTTACTTGTGTAGCCTTGATGATTCCAGTGCTTTTTGTTGGCTGCCCAAGAATTGTAAGTAACTCTGCTGTCACCTCAGAAGGAGGGAGGGAGAAGGGGGATCAGACTTCTTAGTGCAAAATGTTGTGCCATGGAATATGTACAGAAAACTTAGCACAGCTTTGTGAAGCTCTGCACAGGGCCAGTTGCAGGCAGTTCCTGTTTAGCCCCACTTGTGCTAAATGGTCCAAAAGCTAAGGAATTACTTATTTTGCACGCAGCATCCACTAAAACCAGCATTTAGTTGACTCATGCTATCTTATCAACTTGGCTGGATAACAGGTGTGTGCAGCTGATTTGTCACAGAAGAACTGATAAAAATTACAAAATACTTATCCAGAGAGGCCGTGGCTGCCCCATCCCAGGCAGTGTCCAAGGCCAGGTTGGACAGGGCTTGGAGCAACCTGGGGCAGTGGAAGGTGTCCCTGCCCATGACAGAGAGTTGGAACTGGATAGGCTTTCAGGTCCTTTTCAATCCAGGCCATTCGATGATTCTATGCTTGTACTGTCTTAGGGAGGTGGGGAATAAAGATTGTTCATCAGTCTCCTGAAGCTGTGGTTTTTCTCCCTGTCTAGCTGAACATCTTGGCTTCTGGAATAGTGGGCTCTTACACGGTGGTCCTGGCCGTTGCTTGTTACGTCTACACAAGCCTTGCTTACATCACCTTAGACCTGCTCAGAAGGGTCCTCAACAATTACTTCAGCAGAGCTTACACCAATGTGCCTTTTCAAAGGAATGGTGAGTCCTCCTGAGACTTTATTCTCCTTATCACTGTCTCTTTGGTTCTGTTGTAAACAGTAGAGTAAGAGCAGGAAGGGGATGGAAGGAGAACACGGTACACTGTGAGATTTAACATCCACATGAGAAATTTTAGTTCTTCAAAAGCAGTACTGAGTAGACTCATAGGCAGGAACCTTCCTGCAGGTGTTCTGACAAAGGCCCTTGTGAAAGGTGCTGCTCAGACTTGTGCTGGCAGCTTGCTGAGAAGTGTGTAGAGTGGGCAGTCCGAGGCCTAATACAGTGCAGAGACTCTTCCCGGCTCCCTGTTTGTCCTGGCCTCTGCGTGGAGTCACTCTGTGTATCTGAGGATGTGGGGATGATACTTCATTCCTGTCTGTCACAAAACGAGTTCAGTGTTTGTGTTTGGGAAAGCAAGGAATGTTCTGCTGTGCTACAGGAATCTGTTTCTGCTTTTCCAGACTTCATCATCCTGTCAGTGTGGGCAATGCTGGCCCTCAGCGGGGTCACTGTGCAGCTCCGCCGGGAGAGGAGTGAGGTGCCCTTCCCACCACATCCCTATCTCACCTGGAAGAGGGAAAGGGAGCGTAGAAGCACCAATGTCTTAGACCCCAGCCATCATATCCCTCCCCTGAGAGAGAGGATCCACAACAAGCTGCTGCATATCAAAGAGTTCTTCCAGAAAGACCAGCCAGCTGGAGAGAGAACTCCACTTCTTCTGTAACTTGCCAAATAACTGATGGGAATGGAGAGGGGGAACTGGGAATGGTGAGATGATTACCAGTAAGTAGCCAGTGGTGCAGGATTTACCACTGCTAATTTGTCCTGCTGAATAAGAGATTGCTGCTTGGCAGAACAGTTCACTGTCCAGTACACTACATGCTGTTTGTGACTCCTGTGGCACACTCTGCCTGCTGCAACCTGCTTGTGTCCAGCTGCAGAATCCTGTACTTGTAGCCAAGGCAGGCATTGATCCTGTGAGGTCTACTTTGCTGTTTGGGTGCGTGGAATATCAAACAGGCCTTGGAAAGCAACCTGCTGATTGTTCCTTGCTTGTGGAAATGTCTGCTGAGGCAGTGCCCTACTTGCTCCCAAGGGTGGGCAGCCTGTCCAGCTGTGAGGGGAGGGACAGGGCCTGGACATACAAGGAGTTCTTCCAGCAGGAACTGAGCATCTCCTTCCAACAGGTACAAAACGTGTGGCTGTAGACACTCTGGTTTCCAAGAAGTGTTACTGAACCTTGCAAGCTGAACTGAGAGACTTGAATTGAAACTGCACTGACTTAACTGTTATATGTGTGCACTGTGGGGCTCGGGAAGGGGGACTGATCTGAGACAAGAAGACTTTTTCCTTTGCTTTTGGGTGGTTTTGTAGCAAGTCAGTCATCTGGTCTCTGTGCAGAGATGGCTGCTAAGAGAACTCAAGAGGTTTGTCTCCCTGTTTGCTTTCTCAACAGCCTGTGTCTTGTTTCTGCTCTGGTATAGTATCTTTTTTTGATGGTGCTGTCATAAAAGAAAAAAGGAAATAAGGTCCTTGTAGCCAATTGCAATTTTTTGCCCCTGGAGTTGGCTGAAACACTAATTATTTATTTTAATCATCTTTTAATTTTGCCTTTAAGGGGTGAAAACAGCATTCAGCTAGTAAGATACTGACCAGGAACCTTGCTGACTGAATGTGTTCCTTACCTATTTGAATTGCATCTGCCCGAAGCAGAATGTAGTATAAAAACAGATGAGGGACCAATCTCATGTGGTGGCTTTATGCTCTTCCTCAAAAAAAACCCCAAGAGCCATTTTCAAATGTCACCTGGAGCAATGTGTTTTTGGCTCATCCCAAAGAGACCTAAGGGTGTTTTACCTGTGCTTGTCCCTTGTGCCCTGTCCTGGTCTCCATTGGGGGTCTGTCATGCACTGCTGGATGGCTCAAGTCTCACATGCTGTACCATGACACAAGGTATGGTGACTCTGCCTCCTTCTCCCTGTGTCTGAACCTTCAGTGAGGGCAGCTGAGTGCACAGTCCTGCCTGTGTGAGGCGAGTGGCTGCTCAGGTTCCTGCATGGAGCCTCCATCAGGGAATTCCCCCGGGGCAGAAGCTTAAGCTCTCAGCCACCCCTTTAAATTCTTGGTAGGAAATCTGTAAGAAACAGCTCTTTCTGAGGAAACTGGCAAAATAACTTTTTCTGGGAACTTTGTTGGAAATTAAAGCACCCTGGCATAGACACGAATGACTTTTAAATGGCTTTTCTTTAAGGAGTGAGAGCTCAAAGACAGTGTCCGAGGTTACTAAATCCCTCTGATGTTTAGAGACAAACCCCATCCTTGCTTGGAGCTGGACCATCTGCCTCAAACAGCAAAGCAAGGCTGAAATCCTGTGGTTTGGCTCTAGTTTCCCTGTGCTGTTGTGTGGCACATGGGGTGAACAAGGAGCTCTTCCCTGGGTCTCTGCCCATCCTCCCTGCACTCATCCTGAGTATGTCTCTGCCATGTGCCATGGCAGGCAGCAAACCCTTCTGTGGTATAGAAATGCTCTTAAACATGTTTACCTTGGTGGGTTTTTATAACTGCTGCCATTAACATTGTGCAAGAAACAAGTTTAACTTTAATTTTCTATATCTTTTATAATAAAGATGTCTTTTCAAAGAATATTGAAACTAAAGGGTCTCTTTGAATTCAATGATGCTTTTACAGTTTAGCCTCTGCCTCTGATCTTGTATGGAGAGTTTGCTTTGAAAAATTTTCTTCTGGCCAAGGGCTGAGGGGGGGAGGTTGCTGGCATTGCAGTGACACCCAGAGGCTGAGAGTGTGCTCTGTGCAGCCACTGAGGGAAGCGTGTGCTCCAGAGAGGCTTTTTGTTTTGAGAGCTTTGTCAGATGAGGCTCTGGAGAACAAAGAAATGGTTGTCATCCCCTTGCCTGAAAACTGGTCTGCAAGATCACATAGCAATCTTCTAGCAGAAGTGGGCATTGAACTCTTCTTATGAGATCCTGACTTGGAGATTGTATTTCCTTTTTTTGGTTCTGCCAAGAGATGGTTCAGAAATTTTCTCCCATAGTCCCTAAGCCACAGTGATTAACAGTGGTGATGATGAGAATGCATGAACTGATCCACTGCAGTGTTGAAGGGGTATTTTCAAGTCTTTTGTGTACTCCTTGAAATCCAGGGTCTGTTTAAGGTCTCTTTAAGGTCCCATCCAGCACAAACCCTTCTATGACTCTGTGATTCCCTTCTGTCCTTGCCTAGAGCTGTCCTTGATCTGGAAAGGCTTCCAAAAAGAGGGAGCCCCTCCAGAGGAATCAGTAGGCTCCATCTCAAAATGTGCATTTTTCACTGAGCCTTGGAGCTTTTCATCTCTCTGCCTTCTGACCTGTCAGCAGCTGTAGGTCTGCAGTGATCTTGGCAGTGGTTTTTGGGGAGCTTTAGTGGAACTTTGGTTCCTGGTTGGTTTATCCCGTGAAGAGTCAGCATAAGAAACACTGAGCCTTTGGGTATGCAAGGTGAGTATTGTGTTAGGTTATTGTTTCCTTACTCAGGGGCAGGAAATGCATTGATATATTGATATATCCAGATTTATTTGGATTTTGCCAATGTCCATCTGGTTGCCTTCCCCTCCCACATCCTGGAGTAGTAGGCTCTGGTGTCTGAGTTTTCTCTGGAAACAACAGCTCCTGTAACACTTGTGTGTTCAACAGATGCTTGTTGTTTATTGTATTTATTTTATTGCTCTCAGAGCCTGTCTGCTCCAGCCCCCAGCTCCAGGCAGCCAGCTGACTCCTGCTGAGCATGAAGGGCTTTGTGCTTCCTTGAACACTGGGATAAGTCAACTTCAAACCAGAGCAATAAACAAGCTCATTTTGGGGGCGAGAGGGAGTGGCAGGAGAAGAGCGCTGTGTAAAACTTCCCTGCCTGCTTCGGAACTGGATCTTCACAAGGCTGCCTCATCAGAAAAAGCATCAGATATCTAATATGCTCAAAATGAGCTGGATTCGATTTTTTTTTTTTTATCCTGAATGTTGACGGTGAGGGGGAAAGCTACATGCAGGAAGCAAAGAAGCACAGGTGGAGAATTGTAGGAGGCAGCTGCTGTTTGCTTAGCCAGGAATGCAATGAGTTGCAGATGATGAGTCATTTAAAAACGTGTTTGCAGTGTTCCTGAATGTAGTATTGGAAAAGGGAAGGTGTTGATCACCCTGCATCCATTGGTGTGCTGTGCTGAGCTTCCAAGAACTGACTTCTCAAAACCAGCTCTACTGCTGCTCACTGCTGGAAGAGCCACCTCAGGTGTATGGATTGGGGGATTTCTGGTGCTGAGCACACTGCAGAGAATGAATTGTCTGCCATTCTTCAAAAACGTAAACCTTCACCTTGGGAAATGGAAAGAGACTGCAGCTGGAGGGTTTTCCCTGTGCCTGTTCTCTGCTGGTGCCTGAGGAGTGCTGCCAGCACGTGCTTCTTCCAAGACTGCAGTGACAGTTTCCCTCCTTGCTGAGCAGTTAGTTAAGGCAGTTGTCAGGTGAGTGTCTTCTGAACGTGGGAAATAAGGATATTCCCTGATACAAGCGCCACACTGGCTCCCAATGTCTGGGAACAGGAAGGTGGTTGCAGGCAGCAGGAACTCGGTCTCTGCACCCATACAGTTCCAGTTCAGTCCCACTTATGCTAAATGGTCCATAAGCAAAGGAATGACTTGATGTAGTTTTGCACACAGCATCTAGTACAGCCTTCATTTAGCTGACCTGTGCTCTCTTATTAGCTTGGCTGGATAACAGAAGTGTGCAGCCAATTTGTCAAAGAAGAACTGATAAAAAATTACAAAATCTTTGTCCAGAGAAGCTGTGGCTGCCCCATCCCAGGCAGTGTTCAAGGCCAGGCTGGACAGGGCTAGGAGCAGCCTGAGATAGTGGGAGGTGTCCCTGCCCATGACAGGGGGTAGCACAGGAGGAGCTTGAAGGTCTCACCTTCCCTCTGCCCTCATGCTGTGAGCAGCACCATGGTGCTCTCTGGCCAAAGTGAGGCCGGCCATGCCCCAGACACTCAGACTCCAAGCTCTCAAAAAAAAGAAGTTCAAGTTTTACATTGCAACAGAAGACTTGAAATTTCCTCTTTTAACCAGAAAAAGAGCTTAAGGAAACTCCCTAAGCCTTTGGGCATTTACACAGGGATCCCAGTACATGTAATTCTCCAGTGTCATTAGTTCTGTATTTTAACAATCTTCTAATCCCACGTGCTTGTCAGAAAGTCAAAGCTGTTTTAAGCTTTTAGTTGTACAAACCAGCCAAATTTAGTTTCAGTCTGCCCTCGGCTGAACAGCTGCCACATAGAGCAGTTTTGGTTACTTTCTTATCTTCTGTTGCCAACAAGGCTCATCTCGGAGCCAGTACCTTGCTTTAGTCATGGAGACATCCATGTTTTCAGTCAACTTTATTGATAAAATAAGTTTACTGTACAGTACACAATTCTAGCCATAAATCCTTTTCAAGCCATCTGCATTACAAAAATAACAGGTATGCAATGAAAAATAGTCACTCCACACACTGTGAAGGCTCTTTAAAATCCTACAGTGATCAGGTAGGGGACTGAAAGGGGAGACGTATCAAATGTGAAGACTAAAAGTAGATAAATTAAGTCACTTTTTCTTTGTAATTTACAAAAATAAACACTACTCAAGCATTATTTCCTAATAGAGCAACCTCAAAGTACTGCCACAGACCAACAACCCTCTTCTGTATTTGGAAGCCAAACCAGAAGTCAGCCACGAAGCTGAATTCAGCATCAAATGGATAGAAATGCCTCTTGACACCAGTGCGTGGTTGAAAAGATGCTTCTAGAAACAAGAACTTCAACAGCTGAACCCAAAATTCCTTGTAAGTTTGCAACAACAGAACACTCCAGTGAAAAAAGATGTTGCTTCTGGTAAGTCAGCAGCTTGCAAGCCATGGCAGAAATGCAAAATCTAGATTAGAGAAGCACCATCAAAGCTTTACAGATAATATAAAAGCAGACAAGAATATTTTGTGCTTGAGCTAAAATGTTCCCCCAGAATTTCCCCACGGCTGTTTCACAAGTCTGGAAATGGCCATAACTTTTTTCCATGCATGTGAATGTCCTCAATGTGTTCCTAAGCCTAGCAAGAAGCCAAGGTGCTCTGCAGAGAAGCAGCAGTTTTTCCATTTCTAAAGCAGCCTGTGAGAATGTGGAGGCCTGATTTACCTGTCCTGTCAGCACATGTATTAATCCACTGAAAACCAGTATTTACTACCTGCTAATGCTCCTTTCTCCCTTATTTTCTCTTAAAAGCACCACGGGAAGGAGCAGCAACAGAGAGAACAGAACAAAGGTACTGAGCTGCTCCTAAGTCAGTTCAGTGCCACTGAAAGCTCCCCCTTAGGCCTGTGGAACATTTAACTCGAGCTCAGGGAAGCTGTGCTGGGGCACAGGAAGCTGCATTGAAGCTGGCACGCTTGGAAGTGTTGGAAGCTTAGTTCCTTCTGTGTTGCTGTGACTGAAAATCAAACTTGACTAAGCGGTGGTTGATTTCAGGATAGCTCAGCTCGTGTTGCTTGGTGGGTTATTAAACAGCCAGAATGTGAAACTGTGGATGGCAGCTGTAGCTCCACAGTTTTCTGTAGCTGACAGCTTTCACTCTGCTTAACTCACTTTAAAACCTTCTTGATGACTAGCTAGTACTGGAGAAAGGAAAATTAAGACTACTATTGCAGGCTTCCAACTCTGCCATGAAGTTGCTTCCTCCTTCCTCCACCCCCATTTCTGCAGCCACTGCTTTTGTGCTTTCCAGTTACCATTCCTCACTCAGAAAGTTTGGGCAGGCAACTGGAGAAGAAAGACACGGGACTCATGTGGCTTCTTACTGACAGAGAACTGAGCTGGATTTCCCCTCTGAAAGGTAAAAGCTGAGGCAGAATTGTATTGCTACCTGTGTGCCTGAGAACAACAAAGCGGGAACAGCTCTTTCCATGTCCTCACAATACAATTCAGTGCACAGTTTTGAAAGAACCTTGTTTCATTTAAAAACTCCAAGCTATTGATTGACAGCATTCCTTAAGTTTAAAAACTGGCCTTGTATTTTAAAGCGATAGCTCAAGGGTAAATGACAGAAATCCTTAAATTTCATGCTGCCTGTGTGCCCCTCCCATCAAAGAGGTTTGTTGCAAAATGAGAAGTCATTAAAACCAAAACAAAAGGAAAAAATGCTATGTGGATCATGCACAGAGCATATTCATAAGTTACTACTTTCTAAGGCAGAGATTAGACTTGAAATCTTACCTTTATTATCTAAGAGTTGCACTGAACTTTGTATGAGCAATAATTTACATAAATTACTTGAAATCTCACCTTTTATCTGTAAAACAAGTTCATATAAAAAGAATATGCAATTCAGCAAGTGCATTAATCCATTTCCTACTGAGGTTAGATCTATGGCAATCAATCTGTCACTGAGGGTATTGCAGAACACCAGCTGAATTTATGTTACACAGTATAAAAGCCACTGAGCTGGAGTTGGATGTATCCTCTTGCTGGTGCCCTATTCAGTAACAAGTGCTTGACCAGTGCCCCCTGATGCTCCATTGGTTTAAGTGTGCAACTGAAGCTTGCTGATTCCCAGAGTCCTTAGCTTTTCCTCAGGCTCAGATCACTGCTTGTCACTAATCCTGACAGGGATGTGCTCTCTGATGCATCATCTTTCTTGAGGTTCAGAAACGATTCTCTAGTGATTTGAAGAATTTCTCTCAAGCCTTTGTTTTCTTGCTAAAACCAGAGAGTGAAAAATACATTAGTAGAACTCCAGAAAGAAATCAGGTAAAGCCTCCCCTCTACTCCAAACTAATTCATAAGGAGTAAAACACTGACTTGAAATCAGTGCTGTGTCATCTTCTCCAAGGGAGCACATGAGGTTTCTGACCCTCCTGCTCTCTTGGATGGGCTTTAAACACCCCCTCCTTGAGATTAAGCTGCAGCGGTGCTTCCCCTGCTCCAGCAAGGCAAGGGTAACACAACAGCAGCGAGTGACTGGGACAGTAACTTCATGAAACACCTGGAAGGATCTTTACTCCCTTTAATATCTGTGCCTCTGCAGCTTTCTCCTCACCTCCAGCTGGCTGATGCGCTCCTGCTCTTTGCAGCCGTGCCTTTCATCCACCTCAATGGCTTTTCTCATCACCGCTGCCATCTCTGTAATTTGGTCCACGTGCACTTGCAGCTCCTGAGATACAATATTTAGTAATATCTTAGTGATATATTTTCTGCATTATTAAAAAAGCAAAGCATTAAATGTCGTTTAGCTGCTGTGACATTTTTTATCACAGACCTCAATTTTGGAAAACAAATTCTCTCTAACTTTACAGTGTGGGCAGCCACAGTGGTCCTGTTTATTTAAATAAACCTGGTTTGCCTCACAGTGGAATCTGATAGAAGCTTAACTAGCTGTGAACCCTGGCCTCAAAACAGCTACAAGATGGTGCTGTGCTTGCCCTGACCAGGCCCTTCTGTACAGCAGGAACTGATGTGTGTTATTTTGGATATGCAAAACAGCTCCACTCCTGTGAGAACAGCAGGGAAAGCCACATTCTTTCCAGGTGTTTGAAACTGGATCTCCAGTACCAGTCCATGGACAGGCATTTTTTTTACAAAAAAGAGCAGGTGCAGTGGTCATCCTTACTATGTCATATACTACAAAACTCAAACCTGTCCTCCACTCTCTATTTTAGATACTTTTGCTTGACTCTACCTCCAGTTCCAGCTTATTTGGGCTCTGGACTTCAGAGGTTCAGGATAAGGGTCACTGCTTCCTTTCCCTGCAATGCTACGTGAGAAGCCTGTGCCCCTCTGGCATTCACTGCTCAGTTAAGCCAAATGGTTTAAAGGTATTTCCAACAGCTTTCCTTTTTCAACTTGTCTTTTATTCCAACTCTGCTGTGGTGCCAGTCTAGTTGTGCCTGACCTGGCCTTTGGACAAAATCCACAATATTTATTGGCTAGCATCAAGAAAAGCAGGACAGGAGGGCTGAAATGAAGGACAGTAGAGACTAAAGCTAAATCCCACCATTAAATGATGAATTTGATGGGAGATCTATACAGCTGGCAGATGATCAGCTTGCCTTTAAACTACCACAAAGAACTGCCTCAGCTGAATCATAATGAATCATCTGACCAAAACAAATACCCTTTACTGAAATAAACATCAGCCCTTTCCCCTCTGCCATTCCAATTGCCCAAGCTATAATTTAGCAGTTGTTAAATGCCCGCTCTCAATGTGAGGGAGCAGGGAAGAACTTGCTGTAAATCTTTATTTTCTTCTCAGTTTCTAGTCCAGGTGATGACATGAAATATATTTTTTTAAGAGCTCCCAAATGTAGCCTGACAGGAAGCTGTGGTCAGGCAAGGATGCACCCTTGAGAAGGACTGGTAGGAGCTGTGGGTTTCAGATATACTGCTGTTCTCCCTGCTTCCTGCTTTCACAGCTCAATACAACTGATCAATACAACTTCGAGCCTGTTCCAAGGTCACTGATGTTAGGTCAGACCCTAACACCAACACCAAACTGGGAGGCTCTGCTCTGGAAGGCACATGTGGAAAACAAAAAGAAGAGCGCAGTGACAGTGAAAGCCTCTGTGTATCTCTCTCTTTCATACACGTGGGGTTTTTTTCTCTCTAAAGAGATAAAACCAGAAAGGGGCCGCACCCATTTCAGGGCCTTGTTTCAGCTGAGCAAATTCAGACAGCACGCTTAGATCAGGGTCACTGCTACCAACACACACTTTTCTCTTGCATACAACACCAACAGAAGACACTATTTAAAGGAGGTGCTTCTTCATCTGCAGCAATCAATGCTCTTGTAATAATCTGTAAACAGGCACTAAAATAACAGCTTGCACTCAGGAAAATAGCATTACTGGGAACAGGGAGTTTAACTCCTTGGGTATAATGGATTTTTTGCTTAACAAGAGAGAGGTATTTAAAAAGTGTTTCAACATTGTTCAATCTTCTGAATATGAAGCTTCAGCTAGAGAATGAATAATGAAATTCCAGAAATCCTATGTGTCAGGATAAGGGTGATAAATCTTTTTCATCAGGCATTCATGAAGGAAGAGGTTTAATGAAAATGTTGAAGCCTAAATCTCCTGTTCCAATTACATTGTGAGATGTTATTTTTTCTTTTTTTGTTTCTTTTTCCTGTCTTTCCATTGAAGTGCTCCTAAATGAACTATCACAGTCCATTTCAGGATGGATTTCATTTTACCCCTCTTGTGTTGGCTCTCTTGAAGCTGGAGCAGGTGCTATATCATATTCTGAGGTAATTTCTGTTGAAAATGATTTTTATCTGTCATTTTTCAAGATTTTATGTTAAAGATAAAGCTCTAATCCAATAATATTTTTTCATACCAATGGCAATAATTACACACATAGGATGCTGTAGCAGGCAAGAAAGAATCAAATTCTTAAATTCTGTTTTCCCAGTAAGCAGACCCTAAGTTTGCTTTGCAAACTTAAATTAGCTGAGGAGAAAGATTATTAAACACTTAGAACATGTTTGTCCACACAGCTGCATTGCTCTAATGATCGTTACATTTTCAGTGAAATGTAATATTTTGCTAAAAAGCTCCTGTTTAGATCTGTTAGTGACCCAGATTAATGAATTCCCCCAAAATTTAAAAGTCCTTTTGACTATTAAATAACTGAACATATACTTGTGTTTCCTGCTTCATCCAGTTAATCAATAGTCAAAAGGACTTTTAATTTTTAAAATTTATTTACAATATTTAGGGGGAAAAAAATTAAATATTGAATTTAAAAAGTTTGCTCCTCCTACTCTCCCTAAGCAGAAGTTTATTAATGATTTGTTGGTGTCACAAGCATAAATTAAAGCTAGTCTAAAAGTCTGACTATTACTAACCTCTGGCAGTGTAACAGGGCAGTTGCCTTAAAGACTGAAGTGAAACAAAAGAAAATTAAGCAAATGCAGTAATGAAATGCTACCTGTTTTAAGTTCTAATAAACGAGAAGGTTGACTAACTCAACTGATAGTTTCCTGATCATGTTGCACGGGGTGGATTATAAAAATTAGGGTTCATTAGTAGTACAATAGCATAAAAACTGACGTGAAGTGAGCTTTGAATTGATTCACTACAAACTAAGGTTAACTAAAAAAAAAAGCAAAAACCCTCAATGAAATTATTACCTTGGAATGTTGCTCTTTTAACTTCATTATTATACTCGGATCATCCTTTTTGCTCGCCATAAGCAACCTAAACATCTGTTCTCTGTACTTGCTCATGATGAGCTCCAGAGCTGACTGGTGCTCTTCGAGAGACGTGCGCAGTTCTGCCAACAGAATTCAAAATGCAGTTAAGAGTTTAACACAGAGAACCAAATCAAAATGCACAAGGATTTCAGCTTGAGAAAACCGAAATGAGCCCGTAACTGAGTGTCCCCGCTCCCTGCACCGTGAAATCTACCCAGGCTCTGCAAATGGCTTTGATGGTGATCAGCCTGGGTGAAATCCTGGTCAGTAACAGTGTCTTTTGTTAGTGTGATTTTGTGTTCAGTGCCCGTGGCTGACAAAAGCCAGCTGGAGTGTGGCTGAGCAGCTTTACCCCACCCACTACAAGCCACACTGTATAAAAGGCAGGAAGGAGTTCACAGATCTGTCTTAATCTGCAGCTTGGTAAAACCAGAGTTGAAAAACGTTTCTGTTCAAAATCTATTGAGTCAAAAGATAAATAACCCCTGAAATAAGGCAAGACTCATCTGAATTGAGATCATTGAATCCTTTGGTGAGTGGAACTTTTAGAATATCTAAGACTTTCTTGGAGGAACAGTGCATTCCTAGTGTACACCAGAAGGAATTCTACTTCTCTACTTACACCGTAACTTGTCCTGACTGTTCCTATTATTTTCAGCAGTTGTTAAACACTTCTCCAAAAAGATCCCTATATTGCAGAATAAAGTTCTATTTATTTCCTCACTTGTGCTGGACATTAGGTAAGGACCAAAAAAGGTAATTTTTCCCAAATCTCTCTTTTAATTCATCAGTCCCAGAGGTTGGACTTTAGGACTCTTGAACTGAATTTTGATCAGTTAAATTGGCAAATTGAAACTAGAAGAAAAAATTTCTTCTACAGCTCTGCTTTGAAAAAAGATCAGTGGTAAAAGTCTCACTATTTCCAGTGATACAGGCTGGAGCTTGAAAAGGGTAGAATATTAATATTTTACCTTTGTTTTCCTGTTGCAATTCCCTAATCTGTCTGTTTTCCTGCTGGATACCCATCACTAGAGTAGACCGAGGGCGATGTCTTGCTACTTCATTGAGCTCTTGGATTTCTTCCTGGTACTGGTTATTACAAAAACAAACCAACAAGGTACAGCATATTTGATTAACCAAAGGCAGGTAATACTCAGCAGGTCACAAAGAACCACTTCTACTGTCACTCACAGTCTGTAACCAGGAAGACAATGCTTGCTTTTAAATCATAATATCAAACACACATACCAGAAAGTGTTGCAGACATCCTGTCCTTTAGAGACACAAAAGCATCACCTTAGATGTGTTTCGTGGATACTATTTAACCTTCAGTTAATGCCAGCCAAGTTCACCATCAGGCAATTTAAAACTCATAGAGATGTGGTAAAGACAAACCATGAGGCATTAGCCTCCTGACATTTACTGTGGCTTCCCAAAACCTTAAGCCACAAGGCTGTGTGGGTACAAGTCACTCAGGCCCGAGTCAATGGATCCTGACTCCCAACACATGGGGATATGCAATACTCTTGATCTGAAGCTATGAAGCCTCAGCATGCCTAGTTTTACAGGGCTGAATTGCATGCAGGGTGTTATAATTTTATAGGCCCATTAACATATCTTGGGTTTGTTAAAGTGACAGGATGGACTCCCATATGGAAAGTCACAAGAAACCTTTACGTTTTCCCAGGAGGTGTCTTGTGAAATTCACGCTCAATCTAACAACACGTCTTGAGCAGCTCAACATCAGAATAGAAGTGAGCACAAAAAAGCCCAAGAGGCTATTTTGGAAACAAAAGGAGACAGTGCAAAGACAAAGTATTCTGTACAGAAGAAAACATGTCAGAGCCTCTGTATGATTAAATGGGGCATGCTGAAATTAATAAAATTGTGTAGTATTGCATTGGAGAGCAAACCAAGAGACACCACAGAGCGGTTTGTAAGATACCAAGCCCATTTCTACCAGCATTCTTCAAATAAATGCTTGTTTTCAATATTTAAACTGGAGTAACTGTGAAAATATTTTCAGTCTCAAACTATATGAACAAGCTATTTTTAGATGAGAGCCACACCCCTATCTAAAAACACCGAGTGTGCATTAGAGGATTAACCCGGCACCCCGCTCATTCCGTGCGGCACAGAAGCCCCCAGAGCTGGAAGTGCTGCACTGGCAGGATAGGCAGGGCTGGAGAGCAGACCTGTTTCATGGCTTCCACCCGCTTGTTGAGCGCCGTGGTCTGTTCGATGAGCGCCTCGGCCGCGCTGTCGTGCTCCCTCAGCCGCTCCACCAGCGCCTTCGCGTCCGCCAGCGCCTTCTCGATGGTGCAGCTCATTTCTGAACATGACAAAGGCAGCGCTGACACCCAGCACCTCTGCACAGCACAGCTGCCAGAGGCAGGGCACCCAGCACAGCAAAGCTGGGCAGCACCCCTGCTTCTGGCAGAGTGACACAGAAAGTAAAAGAATGTTACATGAACTCACTCGTTTTTAGTGCTACTTTTTTTAAAATTTGCCCTCCTAACAGATACACTTCAGGATAACCAGCACAAAAGAGAATGCTGAAGGACTACAGTGGCCTGGAAGATTCTGATGACTTAAATCAGCAGGGAAGGAGCAGCTCAAACTGATGGAGTAGAGAAAATCGCTCAGGCAAAGTTCAGAAGACAAAAGGCTCGTGTTTTGTTCGTGTCTATAACTGAACACAAACATTGGTGCGTGGAATGGAACTGTGACATTTTCAAAGCACGGAGAGAGACAGCAACTCAGCTAATGAAAAGAAGCAACTGCACCCTTAAAACATCGCCCTTCCACCTGCAGCACTTGTTCACAGGAATTACAGATTGCCAGAACTGCCAAACTTGCAAAATGCTTGTGTCTATTGCAAACAGTACTGGCCTTTACACTGCAATTTTCATATTCATGCTTGGTAGGTTAAGTTTCGAGACCAACATTTTCAGTCTATGCTTTTATTTTCTTTTAAGGAACCTTGGACTTAGTCTACTGAAAAGGAAATCTATTTAAACTCCTTGAACAGTCTTCAGTGATCAAACAGCAGCAATAGACGTTTATGAGATTTATGGGCCTTGTTGATATCAGGCTTAATATTTGGTTTAGGAAATGTTCTAAGGTACTGAAAGAATCTATTAAATCCATTTCTTAGCCAGGCTATTTGCAAAAGTAAAGATTTTTGTAAGCATTAAAGATTATTGAGTCTTTCCTCAGCTAGATGAAAAAAAAATCACTTCAGGTTGATTTTCTAACTTTCTCAGGCACCTTTACTATTCATAGCCCAGGATCTTATGACCAACTTAAAGAAATCCTCAAATTTGCCTCAGCTGACCTTTTGCTCCTACCCCAGGTAAGCAGCAGAAGGAAGGATATTTCAAACACTAGACATTTTACCTGTGTGTTCTGGGATTCATGTGCTACCAAAAGCATCAGCACTTTGGCATGTGCAGGTTTCCTGTTTATCAGATAACGTTGGCATTTAACTTTCCATATGATGTATCTGAGACAGCCAGGCCCCCAGCAGAGTGCTGGGCTATCACAGGTGCTTAATTTATTCACCCTGACTTAGCACTTGGAGCTCTTTCAAAATATGACATGGAAAGGAAGAACAGTGCACTGTTTTTAGAGATCTGCTTTTCTTGCTCCTGCCTCCAGTCAGATCTCCTACAGAAACATCCCAGACAAAAGATGACCTTCTCCACTAACTGGCTGAACTGCTGCAGAAATTGATTTAGTGAGATCCATGTTGCTGCTGAAGAGCAGCCTTTAATTCAGCTCACTCTCCAGGAATTCTCTGACCAGTATAAACAAAGCCTCTGAGGCCTCTATGTGAGCTGGGAATACATTTGGCATTCAGACTACAATGCACTTAACACCTCTGATAATTTGTCTGCATACACATAAATTTTTAAACAGCATCTGTTTAATAGATGCACTTTCTTGTTTTTGCCCCGGCCCAACCATGTCAGAGAAAAGGAAGTTTGTTTGTGTCAAAGGCACTGATGTTTCTTTTCACAGGAAATGTGCTGGGAAAGATGTGTGGAACACAGCCCCAAAAATTCTGTAGTCACTGTCCCCTGTCAGGCCAGGGCCCAGCTTCAGTTTTCAGGCAGCATCTGTACCTCAAAAAGCAGAATCACTGTTTGTATCATGGTGATTCACAGTGGCTCCAAATCATGGCTAGGATACCTTTCAGTATCCAAGACACTGGTCCTAATCCTTGAATCTTAAAATGCTCTCTGGCTACCTGTGAAAAACAAAACCTTTGCCTGATCCTGAAACTCAGCTAAATCTGTGAGTTAGCCTGGACATTTAGTGGGTGGAAAAAACTCCAAGTAATCATTAATATAATTGATTTAAGCAAATTCTTATCATGTATTACTTTTATGAGCATGACTACAGGAGCTGAAGTTAATGATTCCTGAGCCCTGCCCTAGCAGAGATGCCCAGTTGCACAGATGCTCGTTACTGCAACCTTGTCAACAGGTAGCAGAGCCCCAAGTCACCCCAGCAACACTCCTACTGCACACTGTCACTTCCTGCTATTTGCTAATGGCATTCATCATCAAATTAAACACCAAAAAACAACACCAAAGAGTAAAGATCTCTGTGTGACCACCGCCTTCTCCTAACTTTCTGCATCTTTCTTTTTTTATCCTTACTGGGAGCCACCTTTTCCCACAGCTTTTGGGTTCTGTTACCACGGAGACCAGTTTGGCAGCGCTGAGCCAGAATGCAATTTCCAAGGAATTCCAAGGAATTTAAGCTGGTGCAAAGGTCCCGGCGTGACAAGAGCATCCCGGGGGTGTCACCGCCGCACTCCCGGCGTGACAGATCCCGGGGTGTCCCCTCCCGGTGTGACAGCGGCGTCCCGGGGGTGTCACCGAGGGGAGCGTCGCCTCCTGCCCCCAAAACGCGGCGCCACCGCGACGCTGAGGGGCGACACCGGCGCCTGTCGTGACACCGGCGCGAGCCGAGACACGTGAGGGGTCCCGGGCCCGCCCCGGCCCGCGGGTCTGAGGCGGGGGCAAGGGGTGTCCTGCTCCTTCACGCCCCTCAGAGCGCCCCGGCCGTGAGGCGTCCCAACGCAAGTCTGCCCGCGCTCCCGATCGCCCGGCGGCGGCAACTCCCCGCCGTGTCCCCGAACCCCTCCACGGAACTCACTCATGCCCGGGGCTCCGGCCGCGCCGGGGGTGCGCCCGGACCGGCCCCAACCGATGTCAAATGGCGGCGCCAGGGGAGGCCAGCGCGTCCCGTCCCCGCCAGGGGGCGCCGTGGGGAGGGGGCGGTACCGGCCGCGCGCCGCTCTCGCGAGAACACGCCCCTCCGCGGCCGTCGGCTCCAAATCTCGCGAGAGAACGCCCCGCCCTCCTCCAGATGCCGTGTCCTGCAGGTGTGAGGAGGGTGTCGAGCCAAACCTCGGGATCTGTGTTGAACTGTACATCAGCAGCTCTAGCGGCACACGCAGGATTAAGCAGTTGCACTGTGAATAGGTTTAGATTGGATATTGGGAAGAAATTCTTTCCTGTGAGGGTGCTGAGGCCCTGGCGCATGGTGCCCAGAGAAGCTGTAGCTACTCCTGGATCTCTGGCAGTCTCCAATGCCAGGCTGGACGGGGCTCTGAGCAAGCTGGGATAGTAGAAGGTGTCCCTGCCCATAACAGGGTCCCTCTCAGGCCAGGGCGTTGTGTGATTCTACGGTCGTATTATTTTCTCGTCTTTTAAGAAAAAAAAGGGAGACAGTCCCAAAATGACTGGGCTGTATGGCTGAGGGCCATCAATGGTGAAGTCAGCAGTAACAGGGGGAAAGGTAATGCCGGCGATCGCAACCACCGACCCCCTCCTAAAAACAGACCCCAGACTCAAATGGAACTTCGGCTGCGCACTAATGAGCGCGAGAAGCCACAGACACACCCAGCAAACAGGGTTGAGTACTAATTAACAAACAAATTACGTAACTTTCTGCCCCTGATCGCTGATGCTTCTGTTTCTTAAAATGTATAAATAGTGTGTAGTTTCGGTGATCAGGGAGCCTTTCGCTGGCACGCTCCGTCTCCCTGCACGCCGGAAGACAGAATTCCCACAGAAACTGGAACACACGGGGCTGCCGCCCGTCGGTGTGCCCGCCGCGCCCGCAGATCTCGCGAGAACACGGAGGCCTCAGCGGAGCCCGCCCACAGGGCGTCCTCGTGCTCTCGCGAGATCGCGGGCTCCTCCCCCGAGCCGTGCGGGCAGCGTAGGGACGGGCGGGGCGTCCGCGCTCGGGCGGGATCGGGCTGGGGAACAGGAGTGGCAACGGCAGCGGGGCCGGCGCCGGCCTCGGCATGTCGGGCGAGTGATCCCGGCCGGGCGCTGTGGCCCGGGGAAGTGCGGACAGAGGCCGGGCGCTCCCCCCGGGGGAGCCGCGGTGCCGGCGGCGCCCGTGGCCGCGCGGGGCCCCCGCGGGCTCAGGGGTGGGCGGAGCGGGGGGGGCTCCGGCCGCCTCTCCCACCCCCGCGGGCGCCGGGCGCGCAGGCCGGACCCGGGCCCCGCGCTCCCCGCCGAGCCGCCCGAGGAGGGGGAGCAGAGCGCCGCAGGGACATGGAGGGCGCCCGGCCGGAGGCGCCCGCGCCTGGCCCCGTCTAGGGCGCCCCGCGGGCCTCGTCCCTCCTCCTCCTCGGAGCGGGGCCGCGGGCGCGGCCGGGCGCGGCGAGGAGCGGGACCGGGGCTGCTGCACCACCGGAGGAGCCGGCCCAGGTGAGGAACGTTCGCCGTCGCCGTAACGCGTCCAGTGGCGCTGCCCCAGCCCCTCGGGCTCCCTGCCCCGGCCAGGGCGGGCTGCGGGCGCTCGGGCCGGGCCGGCAGCGGCCGGGGTCAGGCCAAGGGGCCGCGGTGAGCCCCGGCTGCTGCAGCCGAGCGCGGGGCCCAAGCCTGCCCCGCTGCTTCCCCCCGAGGAAGCCGCGGTTTCACTTCCGTGATCCTTGTTGCTTTGATATTTTAGGTTTTTTTAAATGAACATATATGTACTTTTTGTCTCGCGTATTCTGTAATTCAGCAGAAGTACATAGAACAATAAATTCTTTCGCTAGAAATTGCCGTTTTCGGCGGTGCCCAGCGACAGGAGAGGAGCAGTGGCCATAAACGAAAATACAGGAAGTTCCACCTCAACATGAGGAAGAACTTGTGTACATAAAAGGTGGCAGAGCCCTGGAGCAGCTGCCTGGGAAGGGAGTCCCCCTCTGGAGACATTGCAAACCCACGTGAAGGCATTACCCGCTCTAGGTCACCATGCCCTGGCTGGGGGTTGGACCGGATGATGTCTGGAGGATCCTTCCAGCCCTACCTGCTCTGTGATTTTTATAATTTCACACTTGGTATATTTCTCAGTGAGATGTTGAAGTACAGATGCAACTATTCGTTTAAAAATAAGATATATTTAGCAAAGCCAAGACTAAAATTCTGATTATGTTACTTAAAGGTCTTTAAAGTTTAATAATAATTTTTTTCTTTTGCATGTTACTTGTTTTAGGAAATAAGCTTTAAATAGGAAGCAGTTTGTGTACTTCTTCTCTAAAGTTGGTTTTAAATAGAGGAGTGGGGAGAGTAATACTGTGCATTTTTATTGCCTTTTCAGCATGATAATTCCACTTTCCTCTATTTTTCCTCCTGAGAAAAAATCGTTTCTTCTGATTAAAAAATGTAGTCTACTAAAAATGGACTCTAAAACTTGAATATTTCTAGGATGTATGTGTAATTTTCACAGTCAACTTATGATGTGTTTTGTTTGGGTTCTTTTCACCGTGTGCATTTTTGATGTCTGTTTCTTTCAGGAAGAAAATGAAAATATTTTCTGAGTCTCACAAAACTGTTTTCGTTGTGGATCACTGCCCCTACATGGCAGAATCATGCAGGCAGCACGTGGAATTCGATATGTTAGTGAAGAACCGCACCCAGGGCATCATTCCTCTGGCACCCATCTCCAAGTCCCTGTGGACCTGCTCAGTGGAGTCATCCATGGAATACTGTAGAATAATGTATGATATTTTCCCTTTCAAGAAACTGGTAGGTTCTGCCAGCCATGCTGCATGTCATGCTTGATACAATATGGGATGTTTTCATCTTTTATTTTAGTCTTTTAATGTATTTGTGTTGTTTAGAGTAAAATAATCAAATTGTAATTTATCCCTTAAAACTTGTTTTTGCTGTTTATATACGTTATAGTCCTTGAATTGGTTTTAGTAGTATATAAATCTCATTGCATATTTAATTTTGGAATCTTTCATTGTTCTAATGTCACATTACGAGCTGGTGCAAAACATGGAGAGGTGCTTTAGGGCAACTTAGAGCTTTATTATTGTGCTCTCCTGAACAATGACTTTACAAAAGCTTCAGTGAGGAACTGTCTTAAGCTGAATTTTCTTGCTGAATACACATGGTAGCTCTAAGAATTTCGGTGTCAGCATTGAAGGAATTCTGGGCTTTAGGAAGAGGGTACGATTGCCCTGGAGCTAACAGTTCGGAAAAGTGGGAGGAGAGCTTCCTGGCACACACAGCTCCTTGTTTAGAAAACCGTATTTTCTTTGTGATGTTTGTTAAATCTTGGTAGATATTTACCCCATGATGTACTGTGACAGACTTTGGAGAATGATGTGCAGTTTACAGTATTAGAATTTACTTTATTTTATGGCTGTCCTGCTGAAAATCTAATATAATTTTAAAAATGCTAATATTTTGAAAATCTTATTTGGTGTAGAGAATGATTTTCTGGTGTACAAATATAAGTTGTTAATCATATTACTAAGGGGAAAACTTAATATAGCAGGAGTGTGTGATTTTTGTGGGTTTGTTATTTTGAGTTTGGCTTGTCATTGCACATTATCTCCAGACAACCAGAAAAAAGACGTGCAATTCATGTTGGTTTAAATTTGGGGAAGTAGCAATATAATGGCTGTTACCTTAATGTGCTTTTTTGATCCTTGTAGGTGAATTTCATTGTGAGTGATTCTGGGGCTCATGTGTTGAATTCTTGGACTCAGGAAGATCAGAACTTGCAGGAGGTATGATTAGTAACTGTTCTTTTGTTTTGTAGTTCAGACTTTATTGTGAAATAAACATTGTGTTCAATATGAAGTAACGCTGTTTAATTACAGTATTGGTGGATCTAGTCTGAAATTGTTGTATAACAGAATTTCAAATAGCTGCCTGTAAGCCTGGATCATTCTATAGACAAAATTTAAAAAGAATCCAGTATCTTTAAGTAGAGACTTAAATATTTAAAATAAGCATTATGAATAAATTAGTCACATATTTCTTCTGTAATTCAGTGTTACTTTTTGAACTTAAATTCTTTTTTGAAATATTTGCTTGAGAGGCAAATAACTTGTGTTAAATACTTTAATTGTTAATATCCTATTTATGGTTGTGTTTCATCCTCTGAAAAATTTACTTTGAGGAAGAAATGCATTTCCAAATTCTCAGAAAATAAAAGCAGAAGGCAACCAGCAATGTCTTTCGGGTGTTGGATATAAGTTGTTGGTTTTGGTCAGGTATTTTTCTGTAATAAATGCGAATATTTAATCACAATGAATAAATGAAATTGCAAAGGATAATTTAGGGCCAAATGTTTTCCAGAAGGCTGCCGGTAAGGTTCGTTAGTTGTTCCATTTGCCCTTCTTCGGCAATGTTAGTCTGCATGTCAGATGTGTTAGAAAAGCTGGGAGGTGCCTCTGGCTCACAGCTCTCTGTCCCGCCCAGCTGATGGCGGCGCTGGCGGCCGTGGGGCCGCCGAACCCGCGGGCAGACCCCGAGTGCTGCAGTATCCTGCACGGGCTGGTGGCCGCCGTGGAGGCGCTCTGCAAGATCACCGAGTACCAGCACGAGGCCCGCACCACGCTCATGGAGAACGCCGAGCGCGTCGGCAACCGGGGCAGGATCATCTGCATCACCAACGCCAAGAGGTGGGCACCGGGGGCCTCTGCTGGTTCCTGACATTCCCACCAGGGCTGCAGGCAGCCCCTTTGCACAGATCCTTCTCAGAGCACTTCTCGCCTTATCAAAGCTTTTGTTATGGGGTTCTGACAGAGGATTGATGGTGCCGCCTTTAAAGAAATCCACCTTTCTTTGTAGTGACAGCCATGTTCGGATGCTGGAGGATTGTGT